GCCATCAATGAAAAACCAACAGTCAACATCATATTAAATGGTCAAAAGCTGGAAACCTTTCTCTTAAAATCATGAACAAGACAAGGATGTCTACTGTCACCATTCCTGTTCAATATAGTTATAGAAACATTAGCTAGAGCAATTAGACAAGAGAAAGAAATAAAAGGAGCAAATATAGGGAAGGAAAAAGTTAAACTGTCATTATTTGCTGATGATATGATGCTCTAAATAGAAGACCCAAAAAACTCTGCCAAAATACTTCTATACTTAATTTCTAGATTCAGTAGAGTAGCTGGATGAAAGGTCAACACTCAAAAATCAATAGCCTTCTTGTACACAAATAACTGAGACACACTGAGAGAAATTATGGAAAGAATTCCTTTCAAAACAGCAACCAAAAATTAAATATCTAGAAATAAACCTAATTAAGAAAGCAAAAGACCTCTATAATGAATATAACAGCACCCTAAAAATAGAGATTTAAAAGGATATTAGAAAATGAAAAGACAGCCCTTGCTAATGAGTAGGAAGAACGAATGTACTGAAAATGGCCATACTTTGAAGGGTGTTATACAGAGTCAATGCAATCCCAATTGAAATCCCAAGAGTATATTTCACAGAACTGTAGAAAACAATCCAAAATTCATTTGTAACCAGAAGAGACCTAGAATAGCAAAAGCCATTCTAGGCAACAAAGACATGACAGTGGGTATCACAATCCCCAATTTGAAACTATGCTACAAAACCACTGTGACAAAAACAGCATGGTACTGCAAAGAAACAGACCCAAGAATCATTGCAATAAATTAGAACATGCAGAAACAACTCCAAATATACTTAGCTACTCATCTTGGACAAAGGAGCCAACCATCCTTACTGGAGGAAAAACAGCCTCTTCAATAAATTCTATTGCAAAAACTGGATTCGAACCTGCTAAAGATTAAAACTAGACCCCTATCTTTCATGATGAACTAAACTAAAATTGAAGTGAATTAAAGATCTAAATAATAAAACTAAAACACTAAACTTGCTGGGCAATAAGTTAGGAAGAACTCTCAAAGACATTGGCATAGTAAAAGACTTTATGAATAAATCCTCAGTAGCACAGGTACTAGCAAAAAGAATCAATAACTGGAATCTCATCTTATTAAAAAGCTTCTGTGGGGTGAGGTGGAATCTCAGTGTTGTTTTCATCTGCATCTCTCAAATGACCAGTGATGTGGAACATTTTTTCAAATACTTTCTTGCTGCTTTTACTTCTTTGTCTGAGAAATGTCTGCTCATTTTGGATGCTCATTTTTGAATTGGGTCTTTATATTTGGGGGGACTGATTGTTTTGAGTTCTTTATATATCCTTGATAATAGTCCTTTGTCTGAGGAACAGCTGGTAAAAATTTTTTCCCACATTGTAGATTGTCTCTTAGTTCTGCTGATGGTTTCTTTTGAAGTACAGAAGCTTTTTAGTAAGATGAGATCCCAGTTGTTGATTCTATCGGCTAGTTCCCGTGCTACTGAGGATTTGTTCATAAAGTCTTTTCCTATACCAATGTCTTCCAGAGTTCTGCCTAACTTACCTTCCAGCAAGTTTAATGTTTCTGTTTTAATATTTAGATCTTTAATCCATTTAGATTTTAATTTAGTACATGGCGAAAGATAAGGGTCTAATTTTAATCTGTGGCAGGTTGACATCCAGTTTTTCCAACACCATTTATTAAAGAGGCTATCTTTCCTCCACTGAGGATGGTGAGCTCCTTTGTCAAAGATGAGGTAGCTGAGTACATCTGCATTTGTTTTTGTGTCTTCCAGTCTGTTCCACTGATCCTCAGGCCTATTTCTTTGCCAGTACCATGCTGTTTTTATCACAGTGGCTTTGTAGTATAGTTTCAAATTGGGAATTGTTACACCTGGTGTCTTGTGTCTGTTGCCTAAGATGGCTTTTGCTATTCTAGGTCTCTTATGGTTCCAAATGAATTTTTGGACAACACTGAGATTCCACCTCACCCCACAAACAATGGCTGCCATCAAGAAATCACACAATAACAAATGTTGGCGGGGTTGTGGGGAGAAAGGAACCCTTCTCCATTGTTGGTGGGAGTGCAGACTAGTGCAACCACTATGGAAATCAATATGGAGATACCTCAAAGAGCTTGGACTGGAGGTTCCATTTGACCCAGCCATCCCTCTGTTGGGTATCTTTCCAAGAGAACTAAAAGAATCATATCACAGAGAAGTATGTGCACCCATGTTTATAGCGGCACAGTTTGTAATAGCTAAATCTTGGAAACAACCTATTTGCCCATCCGTTGGAAACTGGATAAAGAAGTTGTGGTTTTTCTATAAAATGGAATATTACTCAGCCATAAAGAATGAGAAAATAGATTCATTCATAGGAAAATAGATACATATTGAAGATATACTCCTAAGTGAAATAAATAAGTCACACAAGTGTAAATACCAAATAGTTTCCCTGGTGTAAATAATCTGCAACAATGCATAAGATTCTAATAAGATTATTGACATTTAGAAATGGGAAGAAAGGAGCTAAAGGTGTAGAGAAGGTGGGATGGGTAGGGGAAGAGTAAAAAGGGAAAAGAAAAAAATGTGAGAGAATGAAAAGATGAAAATAAAGTGTTTGTAGATGGGGAGGAGAGGAGGGGGTGAAGGGAGGGCAGAGGTTAGGGGAAAAAATGAGAATCAAGACTTGTCATGTAGAGGTATAAGATCCCAACAATGAATGTAACTGTACTGTATCCCTAAAATATACCAATAAACTCAGTTAAAGCTGGAAAAAAAAAAAAGCTTCTGCACTGCAAAAGAAACTACCAACAGTGCTAATCGACAACCTACAATGTGGGAAAAAAAATTTACCAGTTTTTCCTCAAAGGTTTACTATCTAGAATATACAAAAAAATAGAAAAAAATCAGACCCCACCAAATATAAAGACCTGATTCAAAAATGGGCATCTGAAATGAACAGATATTTCTCAGACAAATAAGTAAAAGCATCAAATAAATATATTAAAAATTTTTCAATATCACTGGTCATTCGAGAGATGCAGATGAAAACAACACTGAGATTCCACCTCACCCTATCACGAAATCAACCAAGCTGCTGGGCATGGTGGTGCACACCTGTAATCCCAGCACTCGGGAGAGCCAGGAGGTTCACTGTGAGTTTGAGACCAGGCTGGGCTACACAGTGAGTTCCAGAGCTGTCTGAACTACATAGTGAGAACCCATCTCAAAAAAATAAATCAACCAATAACAAATGCTGGTGGTGTTGTGGGGAGAAAGGAACCCTTTTCCATTGTTGGTGGGAGGGCAGACTGGTGCAACCAATGTGGAAATCAATATGGAGACACTTCAAACAACTGGGATTAGAGGTTCCGTTTAACCCAGCTATACCTCTGCTGGGTATCTTTAAAAAAGAATTTAAAAACTCATACCATGCCGATATATGTGCACCCATGTTTATAGTGGCAGAGTTTGTATAGCTAAAACTTGGAAACAGCCCAATTACCTATCAACTGGAGAATGGATAAAGAAGATGAAGTACTACTCAGCCATGAAGAATAAGAAACTAGAGTCATTTGTAGGAAAATGGATGCATATTGAGGCCATATTCTTAAGTGAAATAAATAGGACGCATGTGTAAAGACTGAATAGTTTGTCATGAAAAGCTGAAAGTGTAAATAAGATTCAAATTGTATAGTTGATAATTGAAATAGGAAGAAAAGGACTAAAGGTGTAGGGGAAGAGGGAAGGGTAGAGTAAATGAAAGAAGGGAAAAGAAAAAATGTGAGAAAAGGAAAAAATGGAAACAAAGTCTGTAAATAGGGAAGGGTGGAGGGATTGCCGGGAGGGCAGGGGTATGAGGAAAAATAAGAACCAAGATACAACATGTAGAGGTACAAGATCCCAGTGATGAATGTAATTTTACTGTATACCTAAAAAACACCAGTAAACTTAATTAAAAAAATAATAATAACATAAGTAAGAAGAAAATGTATGCATTATTCTGGTGAGATTTTTTTCATCAATAGTACAAAAGACTATTTTTAAGACTAGCTGCCGAAATTCTTTGGAGAAACAAAAGGAACATCAAAAGAATATAGGAAAAGAAAGTAAAATGTGATTACTAAGGCAATGTAAGCATACAAAGTTTTACAATTATTATTAAAGTTTACCTAATCTGTATGATTGATATGCCATGTAGTTTTTTCAATCACTCAGTACTGCTCTAATTCCTGGTCACCTGTGCACTGGTTCGAACCATAACACATTATACCTACTCGCATTCTTAGCCATTCAGCACTATACAAAGTCCAAAGCAAAGTGAGCTTCTTGCTCCATCACCCTGGGTGACAAGCTCCAGACACCAGATGTGTACTTCTTTGACTGAGTAACAAGCGCAGCAGGATCTTTGTCCACATCACCCACAGTCAGTGAACGGCTTTCCACATTTGACTGTGAGTGGAAAAGGCAAGTTGAGAAGGCCCTGGATGACTACTTCAACAATCGTGTTGCTAATCGGGAGTGTGTGATAGCAAGGCCTTGGGGAATTTTTCATAAATTAATATTGGAACAGTGACCTGGAAGTCTTCTTCATAAATAAATACCATATATTTCTACCTGTTTGAAGGTTAGTGTGGTCATTTACTGGAATCCAGACCAGTGCAGGATGGTGGCTTCTACAATACTTGCCAGTTCAAAACATTATAGCACCATTTTCTTTACAAAAGGGAATTTCTAGGCAGATGGATGTAATTCTAGCAAAAAAAAAAAAAAACTGAATTGGACAACTATGAGTTATTAACTAGGTAACTATGCTCTTTGTAGAATGTCCCGAGTAGCCATGACAACTTCTGTGCTCTGCCAGAACTCTGCCGCCCCCGCCGCCGCCTGCTTTTCTTTGTGTAAACTCTGCTTGCTGAATTCCCAGGGAAATGCCAATGGAATTAAGCTTCATAGATGTAAAAAATAGCAAATAACTATCCAACCAAAGACTGCCAAATACTCTGCTTCTGCTTCTGTACTTCTTGCTTGCAACCCTAGAAAACTGCTGGTTCTATAGTATTCTGGGCCTGACCTCTTTGGGAAAGATCCCAGTCAGTGTGTCATCTGTCTCCAGCCTCTGGTATTCTGAAACATTTAAATAATTGATAAGGATAAATATGAATGAATTGCAAATCTATTGACTTCATTGCAGGAAATGTCAACATTTACTTATTAAAAAAAGCTATTCGATTTTTTAAAAAATATTCTATTTTTTTCATTGAGTTTATCGATACTTTTTAAGTATAGAGTACGGTTACAATCATCATTGGGATCTTGTACCTTTACATAATAGGCCTTGATTCTCATTTTTCCCCATACCCCTGTCCTCTCATTCATCCTCTCCACCAAAAAATATTTTAAAGTAAAGGTTTAAAGTAAAATTATTATAACACCTTTATTAGTTATAGAAATGTTTTAATATATTCAGGGAAAGTATTTAAGACCGTGTTTCAAAGTACATAACTATTGTTAACCAGGACAATTTTATTCTCTTATTTATAACTGTCTAGGAGTGAGTAATGAAGAAAGTTCAACATATACCACATCCTCATTTGGCAGAATTAAAAGCCACCTTCACTAGTATGAAATATTTAAGTTTCATGATGGCTCCATTTACTGTAATTAGTGTATAATATTTTAAAAAATGCATGAACAAACAGATGAACCATGCTAGATATTGATGAACCACAATACATTTAACCAGAAGAGAGCCCCAATCCTAGTCCATTATTGCATTTAATGCCTTATTTAGAACAGATTAGCAGCGTTTGGCACTGGGTTAGCAGCAATTGCCATTGTGAAGGCTGCCTTTAATCTCTAACAAGAAAAAAGATCAGAAATGGTTTAACTTAGAAAGAAAACAAAATAAAATATAACCTGGGACCTGCAAGATCCAGAAGCTGGTTTGTAAAACTTATCAAATAAACAGTAACTGGATGACTTCAGTAACACTATGAAGAAGCATGTCATAAACAATCGTGGATCTTCAGAAACAGTGGTATTGTTTCTTCACAGAGAGAAGTTAAAACTAATTTTAACAAATATATAATGATTATGTGAATTCCATCTAAGAAACAAATGAGTGCTATGAAGAAAGACCCTTTTTTGAAAAGAATGTAGGTGCCTTTTACTTAGGCAGAGTAAAATAAATGATGCAGCATGTATTAGCCTTTCCTGGCTCCTTCATCAAATTATTACAACAATGTCTGCAATTTTACAAATGTACAATTTGTCAAATGCCATTTGTGTTCTTCAGTGCCTTTAGTATATTTTTCTTAATAATTGCTAAAAGATGAAGTAAGTCATATTATTTTTTGCTTTTCCAAAATTAATTTTATCTTATTTTTTTTCTTTAAGAAAAAAAATTATTCACATGATAATTCAGCTTTCTCCTGGAAAACTGTGACAATTCAAAAAGGTAATATATTTAAATGTAACTATTATTTCTTAAGCATTTTTGCTTTCCTTGTCACTAGAACAAGGGCATCATTACCTGAATCACATAGTTTCAGTTTTGTATATTTTACCTGAAGTAGTTTTATGGGCTTAATGAAATACACCACTAACATCTATATACTGTATATGTATTTGTGTACAGGCATATTTTAGTTGAATACACACTCTGTTTACTATTAAAACTTGAAAAATAGATCACAAGGAGGAAAATATTAGAAATTGAGGAAAATAGATAAATCATCACCATACCAACAGCAATGGGAAGACAAAAGATTTTTATTAACACATTTGCCCCCTTGTATTTTCTTTTGTCCTATCATTTTGCATATTAGAGTCTCCAATTTTTGATTCTGAGATTTTCAGAGTGGGGAGGGGGCTTTAATAGATCCTTTTTGCCTTAGTACTGTCACAATATCTGTTTGAAATGCAGAATTTATTGCAGAGAATGAGAAGTCTTTACCTAAGACTTTTTGACCCACGGCATCTGGGAAACAATATAAAAATTCAAGGACAACTACACTGAGGACCAAATTGTCAAGGCTTGAGGTAAAAGTGGAGAAACATGGCTCGTCAGAGATCTTCAATTGTTTGTTCAAATGGAAACCACCAAATACTGGCCCAGATAAAGAGTGACTACATCTTGCCTCTCTTAACCTTTTGGCCTCAATTTCACTCTCCCTCAGTTTTGGCTTCCTTCTGATGTGTCAGGAGTGCTCATTTATTTGTTGTCAGTGTGATATCACAAAAAATAGTGGATGCAGAGAAGTAGCTGGGCAAAAACACATGGAATATCAATGATGAACGGAGGAGTTTGTATCCCACAGGTGTGAAAGAAGGGGATAGTATATTGAAGGTAAGGAGTTGAAAACTAAAAAGGCATTAAAATGATATAGTTTCTAGTTTCCTACATATATTATGAAATTACAGCTACTCATGCCCCAAATTCAGGAACGACAACAGAAACCAAGTCAGTTAATTTCTTTTCCCTCATGGCTCTTGATTTGTTTAGCCACTACTTTTCTTGTCTTCCTTCATTTTTAAATAATGTATATGTGTTTTAGTGTAAACTAAGTCAATTCATTTTAAAAATAGTTCAAGCAGTTGCTGAGAACACACTAAGGTGATTTCATATGATTGCTCCCCTCAACCTCTACTTCATCTATTTAGGTATGGCACTGGTCATCAAACTGAGGAACACCTACCACTGAGCTACATCCCCACACCCCTTTGTTTTATTTTAAAATTTGAGACAGGGTTTCACTAAATTACCAAGGCAGGATTTGAACTTGCAATTCTTCTGCCTCAGCCTCTCAGAATGCCTAGGTTACAGGCATGTACTATTGCATCTAACCCATATTTATTTTTGAAGCAAAGATTCCAACATGCAATTTTTTGCTTCCATTGGTTTATTATATTTTCTCCCTTGTCCAGTTTCATTGATAACTACTTTTAGAATAATGAAAGTAAACAATTATCTCTTATTCACCATATATAGGACATATTTTGTTCACATGTGTGATTTATAATCCTCTGCACAATTCTACAAAAGAGATGGTACTATTTTATTGTTTTATTTTAAAAATACAAGAGTGCAATGGTAGGTGTTGGGATCTACATGTACATAAAAGGCAACTGTACCTATATTGAACTCAAGAAAACACTTGTTTGACTAAATTCTTTGATGAAAAGAAGTTCTGATCTCCAAGTAATTTTTTTTGTTATGATATAAGTGTCATAGTCTGCTAAGAAAGGTTTATGTCAGCTTTTAACAGCCTCACTTTTATGGAAAAAAATAAAAATTTTAACTTAAAATATGTATGAGCTAATATCTAGTTGAATATATTTTGGTTTGTCTTTCCATGGAATACTAAAAAAGCAAGCTAAATAAGCATTTTTCTGTTAATTTTGGCAATCTCTGAGATATATTAAACTTAAAAAGCAAATAATAAAGTAGTTTACAGAGCATGGTTCTTTGATGTTATAATATTTCATATAATAGAGATAACATTTAGTATAATATTATTGCTTCTTCACCTTTTGGCTAAGATCAAGTGTAGTAGCATAATATTAGTACCAAAAGCTATTTTGGAAACAGAGGAGACTTAAAAGTAGGAGAGAAAGTTTTAGAGAAAATAAAGTGAAAGGGAGGTGGAAGAAAGGAAAAGGGAGAGTAATGGAGAGGAAAGATAAAATTCATAAAATGAAAAAATGGAAATAAAGCATTTGTAAATAGGGAAGGGAGGGCAGCAGTAAGGGGAAAAAATGAGAACCAAGACCTGTCATGTAAAGATACAAGATCCCAATGATGAATGTAACTGTACTGTATACCTAAAATGTACCAATAAACTCAATGAGAAAAAAAAATTTGTCATATGTACTCACAAATATGCCAAAATGAAACACTCTAGTCAGTATAACTAATATACAGTTAAAAATGCAGAAAACATTCTTTTAGTATCCTCATAATATTGATGCTTGTATTTTTTTATAATTGATTATATATATATATATATATATTTAATACATATACACACACTCACTGAATGAAAGGACACCATAGAAAAGGCCTGTAACAACTTTGAGAGAGAAATATTGTTAAAATATAAATATAAGGAATTTAGTTTTTATTTTGTAACTTTCCACATGATAACTTTTTTCACATTGATGTTATTTTTATATTAAAGGAGGTTAAGTCTGAAGGTTGGGGTATGGAATATGGAAAATTATTTTATTATGAACATTTATCTGTATAAAGTATGCACAAAATAAATATTACTTTAAATTAAATACAATAATATCCACAAATATAAATGTAACACTTTTGAAGAACTTATAAAAGAAACAAAGTTGAGTATTCAAAGATACCACAGAGAGAGAGAGAGAGAGAGAGAGTGAGAGAGAAAGAAAAATAGAGAGATTGGGATGAAACAAAAAGCAAAAAGCAAATATATAAGAAAACAACATAAATAGAAATTAAAAATTACAGAAACAATTTAAACAACTCCCTCATATCTAAAGAGAATGTAAACTTACATCATCTCTCTACTAGAAGACTAGCTTCCCCCAAAAATGGTAAAAACCCAAACATATAGCTTTTTATAACTCAGCAACTAAGTAATAAACAAATGCCTCAGAGACTTTAAAATTAGGTCAGAGTGACAGTGTGGACAGCATAGGGCTTCTGTGGGCCATCCCAGTGGAGGGGCGGGCAAAAGGTGCAAGTGCTAAATGGGTGGGAAGCAGAGTGAGGGGGGCCTATTGGTGCCCTCTCCAAAAATCCATTGGAATGAACCTTGCACCTGTGGGCCCCAATAGACTACTGTGAAGATCTCTCTGTAGCAGCAGCCTAGCATGCAGGTACCCTATTTAATGACCGATTGAATTCAAACTCATGAGAAAGTAGTAATGGAGTTTCATATTGCATAT